GAATAAAAAGGAAAACTGAGCTGAAGGTGTCCTGGAATTTGTATACCCTAGAAGGCTGTGGTTACTGCAAGATCGGTGACAATCCTACCTGTAAAAGAGGTGGTTTGTTACACTACATACAGGGAAATTGGCATTGAAGAGGTTAATATAAATATTGTTAGTGTAGTTACAACTTAATTTACATTGAGACTTATACATACAAACTATCTTTGTATTCTAAAGTAGTGAGATGGGAACACTAGTAAATCTATGAAAATAAATAAATATATAAATAAGGTAATTAATTAATTTAACAGACGAATACGTGGCAAATCCCTTTTTTTTTTTACAAAAACATGAGTATTTATTTGGGGTAAAATATTGTAGTACTGTAATACTGCTGATCGGAACATAAAAAAGCATGCAAGGCAAATATTTAATGAAAACTTACCTAAACTTATATGTAAGACTGTAAATTTAAATGACTGAAACTTCCATACTAAAATAATTCAGATAACAGGAAACCTTGAAATACAATAACGAAATTAATAAATGATACATGAAGATAATTTGCAATGCATTCCTATATATATTAAAGTCAGTTCAGGGTGTGCCCTGTAATTCTGGTTGCTTACATTATGTTTATTGAAATGCTATTTTATTTTTAGTTTAAATTTGTGACAGTAGTATTGTTATATTTTATAGGAAACATTAACTTGTATTTTATTTTGGTATTTGTCTTAATAAACTGGACTTAACAAACAGGAGTATTTGAACTGAGCACTGTTTTTTAAAAGGTTGCAGTGTCGTCAAATAGTTTAGTATTAGCTTCACCTCCTGTACATTTAATGGTTTGACAATAGCTTTTGATGAAAGAATGGGTAAACATAGTTTTTAAAGCGTGCGTGTAGACTTTGGAAAAATCTGGCAATAGAATGTAACGATGTAATGATGGTTTTAATTAATTAAAGAAAAGGTTTTCATGTTTAATTTCTAAGTTGTAGATCATTTTCTGACGCACAAGTGATAAATAACAGATCATTAATTTTATCACCATAGCCCTGGGACATACGACGGTGACGCAAATGTGGGAAGGAAAATAATATGGCCTGGAAGATTTGGAGCCCCTGATTGGTCGAACATTCCATCATATTCAAAGAAGACTTTTAAAGCGAAGGTAAATGCTTTCTGCAGATAGCAGCATGTTAAAAGATGTATATTTATTCTCTCACTAAGACACTTATTAAATATTTTGTATGCTAGAGAAAGAGTAGAGATACACTTTTCATTCTTCTTTTACAATACTTTTGTGTTCTGCACATATGCACTGCAATAAAAGACATACGCTGGGAGATTGTGGTGAATATGATAAATTTACTAAGAAAAATGTTTTTTTTACATCTTTATACAGCACATTTATGTTTTATTGTAAAAAAAGGTGTTATTTTGCAAATGATAGACCTCGGGTAAACATACACGCACTATGTTAAAATCCCAATATAAACACATCATTAAGAGCATTATGGGAGATGCAGTCCAACATATGGAACCTTGCCTAGTGTGTACCTAAGAAAAAAAGGATGCAGTCTGTCTGCACTAATTTTTTTCTTTTTATGATCTGGAAGGAAAACAAAGTAATTGTGGGGGAGGGGGGAGGGTAATAAAAATTATGTAAATTACTGAGAATTTTAGAAAATTGTAAGACATAGTAAATGTCAAATGCAAGAGAAAACAATACAAAATGAAATTGTATCTTTGTAGAGTTGTAGTTGGTCATTTAATACCCTCCAACTAGGTCCTAACTGCAGGCTGACTTAGAAGTGGCCACAAAATTACTTCTATGGGGGATGCAGATTTGGGGTGCATTTGGGAAAAGAAAAATACAGTCCATTTCAATAAATATGTTCTCTATAAACAGAACAATGTGTTCCATTGTAAATAAATTGTTGGTTTTCTCACTTTTATTTTCAGTTGGCAGAAGAGAGAGCTTTCAACAAAAAGAGGAATAGAATTGCCTACTGGAACCTCTATAAGTGAATTTACCTAGCTTTCATTAACTACACCAAGTTCATTAGCTAGTGTAAGGAAATAAACTGATCAATAAAAAACTAGTGTGTGTGTTACTTCACTACAAGAACTGACACATTTTAACAAAATCTAAGTCTAATGCGATAGAATACAAACAAATAATCTGTATATCTGTAACCTTTAAAAAGATGTGTGGTGTAACTCTATTAACACCATTAACTCATTATGAGAAATAGGTAATGTAAATGTGAATATAATATAAAAGTGCAATGTTTTTTACCATAATTTATAAGGTAATTTTTCCATTTGTTGAAAGAGGTCTTTTATTTTCTATGGGAGGCTGCTTCTAGGATCGTGTGAGGGTGGACGCTGCTTGAGGGGTTACTGTGTATGGAAGGGATATATATTAGATATGGTGAATAATGCGATATAGTAGCTTATGAAATAAAATTGGATATACAACATAAGCTTTAAACACAAATCTTAGTTCACACAAAACAAACAAACAAACAAAAATCTTATCGCACTTACATAAAAGGGTTACTCCACACCCATGAAGCATTTCAGCTTGGCAAAGTGCTTTATGCTTAAGGTAGCTTGTCTTACTTGCACTTTATAAAAGTGTCTATTTCTTTGAGAAATCAGCACTTTCATAAATCAATACTGTAACACCACAAACAAACAATCGGGTACGTTTTCTTCCTTCTTCTGTTTGCTCCACTGAGTGTGTCTGCTACTGCTTCTCCCAGTTATAATTACCCAGAGCACACCTGCCTGTGCGCTTGCTTCCACAGTGCTCATCATACTTCGTGTCCACAGATTCTCGGTTCCTGGGGCTCCTGCGTCTCATTCGGCTCCTGTGGCTCCTGCTTCCTATTCCTGTAAACACCCCTGCTTTCCACAGTCCCCTTGCTTGCCACGTGTGCTAATTGATAAGAAGTAGAGGTTTCACAATTTAAAGGCACTGATTGGCCATTTCCCAGGTACAGACCGAAAATCTGTGCTGTGGAAAAAGGAAAGTGCTTGCAAAAACTGCAGACCTAAGAACTACAGCTTTTGCAAGCGCTTTCTAGATATACCCCCAATGCCAACTAGATTAACTAAACAAATGCATGTTTTCATTGGGGGTAAATCTACTAAAAAGTGATTTTTTTTAATGTGGAGTGTTTCTTTAATACCCATGAATCTGAAAAACAAATTACAAGAATCAGTCTAAAATAGCCACATTCTGACTTTAGTTTAGTTAGATACTTTTTCTAAAAAAGAAACATTTTTGTAAAACCAAAATGATAAAAAAACAAATTTGGGCAAGAAAGCTGAAGTTGAGTTGGACATTTTTTTCCATACCAATTATTGTTGGAATGATATATAAAACAATTGAATTTCTGGCACTTGTTTGAGTATGGCAGCTTGTTCCTGAAAAGATACTGTATGAAAGGAGACATAGGAAAGTAACGCCTTCAGTGTCCTCAAGTCCTTGTAGTGTTGAGGTAGTATAAAAGAAAAGATAAAAACGGAATATAGTGTAGTATCATTGGAGACTGATGAATTAAATAAGCAGAGTAACACTTACACTTATGATCAGCTTGAGATGTGTGCACTTGGACGGTATTATCCCCATCTGTGGATGTGCTGATGGTCCCGGTGCTTCACAGGAAGATGCTCAAGGCCAATCAATCACTCTTGATGCTAAGTGTTTAGTAGTCTTCTCCTTCAATGCGCAACGTTATGGCAATAGGAATTTACCAGTATGTAGGATGAAAATAAAACAGAATATAGTGCTCTGTATAACTAAGATCAAAGTAATAGCAGGAGGTAATCTTACATAAGGAGACCAAAAGTATCTCTTTAGCCATACTGTGTCTTTTAACACCTGTTTCCATCTGAACCCCCCCCATGTCTCGTATGACCTCGATATCTCACAAAACTCTCTTATTACCCCCCTGTGTCTCTTAACAACCCACTTGTATTTTTTTCCCATCCCTTTGTCTCTTTCTCTTGCCCCTTTTGCTTTCTTTCCTTGTATTTAATGTCACCACGCAAACAGCGGTTTAGGATCTTCTTATACTTTACCAGGTCTAACAGGAAGCTGCTCACTGATCATTGCCTACCCCCTCTAGTTAGAAAAAGAAGATCATCTACCGTGGATCTGCATGCCCACACTACATGACCTCACAGTGTGCCCTAAGGAGGCTGCTTGTGCCACCTTATGTTAGGCCCTGATTAAATGATACAGATTAATTGTTAACTTAGCCAACAAAGGAGAAAATCATATTGCTTATTCTAGCTCAAGTTTTCATAGACAACAACCAGCTGAATGTTGCATCATCATATCTTATACTACGATATGTCACTAATGATCCATATAAACTGTCACTCGATAGTCACTCATACACCATAATTCATGCCATTTATTATTATTTGCTGCATATACCATTATTAAAATTCTGACAATTTAGAGCAGTTTTTACGTCACTGCTTTCGAATCACAAGTTCGAAGGCTGGTCAAGTCACTGCACCAGTAAGTGTTCCTGGGCAAGACACCTACTGTATTAGCCTACCTCATATACACAAATATTGTAACTTCATTTGAGCAAGGACTTTTTCATATCACTTTTCTGTAATAGTAAAACACTGTGGAATATGTTGTAACTACATAAAACCTAAAAATGCTAATTTACCCCCTCCCTACATTAACAGCTTGGTCACCACTGCTATACTGGGTAATAACCAAGGATTCTACAGCTTCGTTTTCTAATCTCATATCTTGTATATTGTGAGAAATACACCAGGTTATGTAGATCAGAAGTCACCTCATGGGAACTTTTTCACATTTTGAATAGGACAAGACACCTGGTGATCTTGGCATTTGCCCATCTAGTTGTTTATCCACCATTAATTTACCCATATCAAGGACAGATACCCTTGGTATAAATATGAGACAAAAACTGTAGACTGACTCTGGTACTTAGAATTATTCATATAGATCCACCATGAAGTTCTTGATAATTGCCTTCCTTTTGGGAGCTGCAGGTAAGTGTCACACGGTTATATATTGTAATGGTAATGGTAGAATACAATACATACCATGTACAGATAATGCACTCACAATACAAAAATAAATGCAGAGAGTAAATCAAGACATGGTAAATATATTTATCGCACATAATGACAAGTTTAAAATACTTGAACAAAACTCTCTTATCATATGTAACAGTTTTAGGGATAATGGTTTAATCTTTTATTTTTCAAAATATTCCATGTAGCTCTTAAATCCAGTCCACTGTAAGGTCTTTAAACCATTCCATGCCCCCCTAACCATAGAGGGACTGTATGTGAGCAGAGCAGTACCTAGGACAACTATGCGGAAAATGGTTGCCCCTACTGATGCTCCCACCACCTCTCTGCAACTGCCTCCTCTGGGAAGTGCCATGCTCTATTAATGATTCTTCTGCATTATCCTCTACAGAAACCTTGTTATGACTTTTACTTCCACCAGATAGTCAAGTTTGATCATCTTCTAAGTGCCAACCCTAGCTGGGCTGGTCCGAGGACCTCACTAAACCATGTAAAACTAAACCATAGTTTACTGATGTATTTGCTTCACAGCTGCATTTGAGAATGATGATGATAAGATTGTAGGAGGTTACACCTGCAAAAAGAACTCTGTCCCATATCAGGCTTCCTTAAATTCTGGATACCATTTCTGCGGCGGCTCCTTGATTAGCAATCAATGGGTGGTTTCTGCTGCACATTGCTACAAATCGTAAGTAAACCATGTATTGTGGATATTCCACCAGTGGATATAATATGTAAATCACATTTTGTAAATATCTTATAGCTATGGACACAAATTGTAAGTAAAAAGCGATTTACAAATATTTATAGCAATACATATAAATCAGAAGTAAAACATGTTACTAAAATTCAATAGCATACAAATCATATGTACAAAATATTACAGAGGCTCATAGCAGTGAATACAGACCGTTTCTTAAGTACATTTCAGATATTCTATAACAGTCAATGCAAACTGTAAGTAAAATGTGTGTTACAAATATGTATAGAAGTAAATACAAATCAGAAATAAAACCTGTTACAGATATTATTTTTTCAAAATCCATGCTAATATCCTTCATTCACAATTTTTATTGTGCAACTAATTTAACACCCACAGTTCCCTTCTTCTGTCCTTGATATAATATCACTTATTTTACACACCATATCAGACCCTTTCTACCAATCTCTATGTTAGTTCCCATATATATTTTATTTACAGTAGGTATACACTATTATTAGATACACCTTCTAGTATTGCATAGCCTCCTTTTCCTTTGTCCAGAGACCAACCTGAATTCTTGTGGCCACACTGAACTGTACAATTGTTTTATTCAATGAGTTGCTTTCACTAACCTGAGTGTACTGCATATCTACAAACATGTTAGTCTGTGTCTAGCTTAAAGGGACACAATTGGCACCCAAACCTATTCATCTCAATGAAGTGGTCTGAGTGCCATGTCCTTGTCTGTTTAATACTGCAACTGAAAACATTGACATTCTCTCTGCCAGCCGCTAGAGGCGCTTTCACATGAATAGCTGAGTTAATGTCATAAATTCAATTAGATAGTCTAATAGAGACCAACTGATTCACACAGTACAGTATTTTCCCCCTATGGGGAAGCATTGGACTGGCTGAGATCATCTACACTTACAAACTCAGCGAAAGAGGTGGAGCATGATTGTGGAAACCGGCACGGTGAGGGCTGAAATGTAAGTAATAATCACCTTTCAGACTCTCACATGGGGGACACCTAAATGAGTGTCATCAGGACACTATAGTCTTAGTAATATATGTTTTCATTCTTAATGCTAAGCGTTCCTTTAATATTAGATATTAAAAACACAGGTCAAATGGTCTTGCTTCTAGGTCTCCTGACACATCATAAATCTCGTAAACCTCAACCTTTTATAATAAACATTAGACTGAATTGTCAAATATGCGCTTTTCAAAGAATCAGAATATGGTATATGCTGTGCAATATACCTATAAACAGTGACTTATTTTATGTTTTTACCAAGATTAAATTAACAGCAGTTGAATAAATTAATTTTTTTTAAAAACCAACAAAGGAAAAAATGTTTTTTTTATGAAAGCAATAGGACAAGTCATTGACTTAATCAAAGAATGGTCAATTGAGATCCCATTAAATATACACAGTAAATAATTTCTTTGTCAACCAATCAATATATATATATTTTTAAATAGGAGCATCCAGGTCAGACTGGGAGAGCATAACATTGCTGTGAGCGAGGGCACTGAGCAGTTCATCAACTCTGCAAAGGTTATCAAACACGCAAGTTACAACTCCAGAACCCTGGACAATGACATCATGTTGATTAAGCTGTCTTCTTCTGCCACCCTCAACTCCTATGTGAAGGCTGTGGCCCTGCCTTCTGGTTGTGCAGCTGCCGGCACTACCTGTCTGATCTCCGGTTGGGGAAACACACTCAGCAGTGGCAGTAAGTCAGTAGAAAAATTGTACTTTGAGATCCCACAATTACGTAATAATTAAATAGTCTAGTATCCCCTCTTCCAATATAGGAACTACCAGTCCCTCTCTTGAAATGTAACTCATTGTTTTGACTTGTCTCTTGTCTGTTTTTACAGCAAATTATCCAGATCTCCTTCAGTGTCTGGACGCTCCCATTTTAACCGACAGTCAATGTACTAACTCATACCCAGGAGAGATCACAAAAAATATGTTCTGTGCTGGATTTTTGGCTGGTGGGAAAGATTCTTGTCAGGTAACTTACTAGATGGTGTTGAAAGTTATTTTGAAGCAAAAATATATATCATGAAGCAAAAGGTTATTAATTACCAAGGTTTTATTAGCACATCCATTGTAATTAGATGTACTTGTATACTCAAGCAGGATTTCTGTTAATAGATAGATAGATAGATAGACAGACAGACAGATAGATAGATAGATAGATAGATGGATATATAGATATAAAGTGATAGTGATAAATAGATCATGTTTGCTATAATAATAATAATATAATAATACTATAGATAATATATACTATATAATTAGAATAATACTTATTATTATTATTATTATTATTATTATTAGATATGTGCATTGGCATACAAACTGGTTTCAGATTAATTACTTCTGCCAAAAATAAAACAAATTTGGGGGATATATAGTGTTTTGGCTCTGCCAAATTCTGTTAATGAAGAAGGATTTGGAACAATGAATAAGATGAAACCAAAAGGAATGAAAATGGGCCAATAAATGTATTGCAAAATATATACATAATTGAAATAATATTATGCATATATTTTATGTTAAACTGATAACATCATTATCCTGCCACTTGGTTCACAGATCAAGTGAAAAAAGTTACCAATAGGGGGAAAAATAGAAGAAGCTGAATTTTTTTTTTTATCTGTATTTATATATTTATATAAAAGCCAAAGAAAAGAGTTGCTTGCACACTATCCCAAATCCCTATGCACATTTATATAACTGGAGGTTTCTTGTCAGGTAACTTACTAGATAGTGTTGAAATTTATTTTGAAGCAAAAATATATTATATCTTGAAGCAAAAAGTTAATATTTAGAGTTTATTCGCACAGCCATTGTAATTAGATGTACTTGTATACCTAAACAAGGTTTCTGTTAGATAAATAGATTAAATAGATAATGTTTGCTATAATAATAGTTATTATTATTAGACCTCTGCATTGGCATATAAATTATTTTTGGACAAATCACTTTTTCCAAAAATAAAAAATGTGTGGGGACAGACAAATTTTGGATATATACTGTTTTGGTTTGGCCGAATTTTGTTAATAAAGAATAATTAAAAAAAACTTAAATAAGACGAAACCAAAAGGCATGAAAATAGGCCAATCAGTGTACTGCAAAATATATGCATAATATAAGTAATATTATGCATATATTTTGTAGTACAATTATAGGAGCACTTTTTTGCGATTTGGTTCATAGATCAAGTGAAAAAACTAACCCATAGGGGGAAAAATAGAAGAAGCAAAAAAAAAATCTTTATTTATTAGTTGTATAATTATTATTATTTTTGCATTTGTTTCCCTTGATTGGTAATTGTACACCTGATCTGTGAATAAAATCAGCATTTACAGATGTCACATTTAAGTTGGTTTTGTAAGCGAGAATTCAACATTAATGGAAAGTGACATTCAAATTTAAGGTCAAAAGAGCTGAACTAGAAGGATTCTTTAAGTCTACTATTCTTTCAGGTCAACTTATCGGGCCTTTGAATTCACTTTGAATTCTCACTTTATTACGTAACCCTTTTAGTGCATGTTCTGTAGCAATCAATCATCTTTTTTTCCCATCAATCATCTCTTTTTTTGGAGCCATGGGTCGTGGAGTCATGAGTCAATACAAACATGCACGACCATTGCATTGTTCGGCAATTTGACCAGTCACCCGATTGGCCCAAATTCGGATAAATTGCAGTTCACCAAACAAATAAATTTTCAAGACTAATTATTTGTATTATTTATTTATATTATTATTATTATTATTATTATTATTATTATTATTATTTCATTTTGTTATTCATAAGAAGACAATATATTTTGCATAGCTGTGTAATGGATTATGACCTTATTTTTGGTTAACTGCTAACAAGTCATTTAGGTAATAATAACACACCACAAAATACATTTAAAACATATAAACAAAAACATAATTCATGTAAAAAATGTTATTATAAATATTATAATTATGTTTAAATAGTAAAATTCTGTAATTCCTTTAGGGTGACTCTGGTGGCCCCGTGGTCTGTAATGGTCAGCTCCAGGGTGTGGTCTCCTGGGGATATGGCTGCGCTCAGAGGAATTATCCTGGAGTCTACACCAAGGTCTGCAACTTCAATTCTTGGATCAAGAACACCATGGCATCTTATTAGAATCCACTATGAAATATTCATGTTTTGACACCCAGTTAATGTTTCATTTTGTTTGCTTTTTCAAGCATTATACTTCTTGATCCAAATCAAACTACTGCATTTATTAAAGATTCCTTCCTAAGTATCCTCCTTCTGTTAAAGTTTTTCTGCTTAAGTATATTTGATATTCTTTGACATCATCACTTCCCAATTAATACACTGTGCAGTAAAAGGCATACAGTTCCTTTTATTTTTCCTGAAAAATGGTGGGTCCAATTATATTTAAAAAGCACAAACATGAGATACAACGACAAGAAAATATGAAAAATAAATGTTTGAATTAAAAACAAAGAAAGTTCCCGAAGAGTAAGCATATATGTTAATGACCCATTTACCCAGATTATAATAATTTTAATAATTTAATAATAATTTTAGAAATTAGAAATAACATTGGTCGAATGGTTCATTCAGTTCTTAAAGCAGTTGCCTAAGAAATTATCATGTGGTATATTATGGGAGGCATGTAGTATGGATTTTTTCATTGCTTTGTGTGATCCACATTTATACCCTGGAGGGACACTCGAGAACCCTAAGGCTCTTCAGCTTGCTGCAATGCTTTATCTGTGTAGAGTGTGTCCTCTTTTTTTTCATTTTGCAAATATTAGAAATTTCAATACAAGTGGGCATTTTTATACATTATCTTTGTTACAGCCACCTGGCTATCAATCAGATAACTAGTCATGTTACTTCCTGGTTGTTTAGTAGAGCTAAAATCAAGAGGCAGCAAAACCCGGAGCACCTGCCTTGCAAATACTTCTCATTGAGCTGCATTGGGAAGTCTATGATTGGACAGCAAACCGAGAGTCTGGGCTGAGTTAGAATAAGATGGCTTGCAAATCCTGCAGATAAGAGTTGTGCAGATTTTGAGAACAGTCAAATGCAAGTATGTTTTTATTGAGGGTATATGTACGAAACGGTGATTTAATTTTTTAATTTGTATTTTGGCAGTTGAGTGTCCATTTTAATAACTTCAGTTTTTCAAATATTCAAATGCCCTAATTCTCTTCAATTCTGAATACTGCTTGGATGAAAAAAAACTCAGTGAGCTGTTCATCACAAAAATATGTCAATTGCTAGTGTAAAAGTACCTAAAGATTGAAAGATGGTTCAGTTTGAGAAACTTCTTTCACCCAGAAGGAAACGGTTAGTCACAGATATCAAGGATCTTTTTTGCAACTAGGATAAACTGGAATTACTGAGTGTCTGTACCTTAATTTCCTACACATTAGGTTATACGATATAAGAAAACAATGACAAAAATAAATAAAATGCAAGAGGATAACAATTACAGAAAACCTGAATTGTAATAAAATAACCGCTAATAAAGATATTTAGTAATTCCTAATTTCAACTTTAGTAAAAAATAAAAATAAACAGAAATTAACCCGGGTATAGTAGTGTCCAATATCTACTTTGAAAACAGGAAATTAGGAAATTAAAATCTATCAGAAAAATAAGTTTGGTTGTTTACTTCCAGTCAAAAACCAATATGAACAAAACTCAAACTAAACAGATGCAAAAGCTTCACTGCCTCCATGTACTTTTCAAAAAATGGTCCACCATACTTTATTTGCATTCTTTTTGCTTACTGACTGTAGAATTGTATGGAACTGCACTGAATGTATTAACACGCTGCATGGCTCTGACTGCTTGTTGTTCAGTTCCGTCTCAACTATGTTAGATTATCATGTCCTTGCCTCTGGATCTTTTTTTATAGCAGATCAGTGTTTAACCCCTTAAGGACACATGCCATGTGTGATGTAATGATTCCCTTTTATTCCAGAATTTGGTCCTTAAGGGGTTAAAGGAAATAACCGAGAAATTGTTGGGAATTGACCAAGGGGTTTTGGGATTTTATGTAAACAAAGGTGAACTGGGACATTTTTCTGGAACTTCAGAATTAATATTTATGAAGTGGAAGTATATATTCTGCACTACAAACCGGCTGTCGAGAAGGGGGGTTAGTTGTGATAAGGACAGACAGGTTTTGTCAAGCTGCTCTAAAATGATTTGACAACAAAACTATACTACAGTGAGCATAGTTTCTTGGCACCTGCCTTTAATAGTTATGGTACCTAGATAGCCCCTTGAAATGTAACTCCATCTTATATCCTTAGATTTTAAAGGAACACTTTAGTGCCAGGAAAATAAAGTTAAAGTGCCCCCTTTTCCTTCCCTGTAATAAAGAAGGGGTTAACAAAAAACTTCTGTCTCTCAGTGCTGGCTCAGTGTCTGCCTTCGCTCCTACCCCTGCCAATGTCAGCAGCGAACCTATTGTGCATGCATGGCAATAGCAATTGTATAATGCTTTCCTATGGGGTTTCAGGTGACACTGGGGGGAGTTAACCCATAAAGAAAATTATTGCAGTTAATTAAAAACTGCCATAATTACCTTTCCTGGTTAAGGGACCTGGAAAAATTCACCCAGACCACTTCAATGAGCTGAAGTGGTCTGGGTGCCTATGGTGTCCTTTTAAGCTTTAGCATCCAAAATTCAATGATCAAACTGTATAGCTAGTCTTGAAAAAAAAAATTAAGAATAAATAATTAGTACCTGACCAAGTAACCAATTTTAAAACTATATTTACATAAATATTAACATATTTGAGTGGAGGTGATCCAATTGCATGAATCAATTTATAGATAGCATGATGTTTTCCAATTGTTCCTTTAATACCCGTGAACTGAAACTCAAATTCAGTCAAAAATAGCCACATTCTGACTTGATGAGTTGGGTCATTTTTCTAGATCCGCTATTTAAATCTAAATTTAGCAATTTTTAAATTCACCGCAATTATTGCATTTTAAAGAATAACCCACTTTATTTTAATTATGGCAGCATACTTGATGCAGCAGATTTTTTTTAAAATAAGCTAAGTTTTTCTGCTAAGTTTTTCTGCAGATATCATGTGGCATCAACTCTTAGTAAGAGATACATTTACGTTTTCTGAAAATTCACTTGACTAAAGCATTTGGAAATATGGTGAAAATCAAATAAAGTTTTAGAAATCTGTGGCAGAAAAAAACATGTTTGCAGAACTAAAATAAAAAAAATAAATAAAAAAAATTAGGCGTCAAAGTTGGAGATATTTTCCAAATCAGTTATTGTTGGAATATATTTTGCAAGGCAATAAACTACAGAGTACTGCGGGAGCTGACTGACCTATTTATTAAATGTCACTCTCCAGCAACAAGGAATTTGCATATTTTAACGACATCATTTTATATATTTATATTATTACTTTATTTAATTTATATGCAATAACTGGAGTTAAATTTAGTATGTATACATGTACATTTCTTATTTGCTTGTAGTGTCCTGTAGTGTCCCTTTGACACATTTTGCACCAATTCTGAGCTGAACATTAGTGTAACAATCTGACCTGCTCTCTCTCCTTCTCTAACTGCCTTTGTAAAATAGAAAAATATAAATATATATGTAGGATTAGTACAGATTACTCTTTCCAATATGAGAACATGTGATTTTATCAAAAATGTGCAAAGTCCACTCAGAACCATTTAAAATGAGTGTTTGCTTTCTGTAAGATATTAAAGGAAGAATAGAAAACACATTCTACATCGTAGTAAATTGACTCACAACAAAACAGATCTATTCCAATTTGATTGTAAAAAGCGTGGAGTTTGAATTTCTTTGTTTGCATTTCATTCCCTTTGCTTTTTATTTTTCAATTTGTATTTTATTGAAAGGTGTTGTTTTTTGGGGATACAGAAAAAAATAAGAAAGGAGGGGGTAGGGAACAATGCAATACATATTACAATTTATAGCTTTAAATACAACATTGATCCATATGCAATTTTCAGTGTTGCACTGACATGTGGGTTCTAAAACAGAATGATATTTGTACTGTGGACATTAGACTCAGCCTGATTATAGGCTACATTAAATATATGCATAGGCTATTCAAAGTTTGTTCCACTATATGGCCAGTCTCACGATGGGTTCCTGTAGAATTAAGCCCTCTGGGTCTCGTACCCTTAATGGAGGGTAGTAATAGGACATGAAGGATCAAGGAAGTGGTGAGGAGTTGTAAAATATTTATTCTCACAGTAGCAGTGTTTCAGGTCCCTGAGAATGTGTTTAGGAGATTGGTTAAATCTAAACCATCTGTACCCTGGTGGGATAGAAAGGTGTATTCATTGTAGTTCTTGTCTTGATCGTGTCAAACCCCAATAGGGTTTCTCAGATGTTTGATATAAGATAGGGTGACATCATCTGGACTACAATGTTATTTGATAAAACATATACATACACTTAAGAGTTATTTGTATGTATCTAGTCAGGGCTTCCAAATGTCCTCTAGAGCCAGGACTTTTTTTATGCGATTCAGCTGTAATTTTTTTCATATAGATAGTATTTTCTTATATTATATTGTAGTGTAGGACAAATCTGGTTTTCCCCAATTAAGTGCTCTTAGGTTTTTGGCCACTAAAATCCTTATCAGTGTAAATATTTTGAAAGCTTTAGACCATGAGCTAGGGAACATTAGAAATAAGCTTACAATTGGAGTTAACAATAAGTCAGTCATCTGAATTTTTTTTTTCAAATTGCTTGAGTTCCTATTCACAGAGCCTTTATCTCTGGGCAGTCCCACCATATGTGTTCCATATTTCCCTCATGGGTCCCATACCTCCAGCAATCGGATTTTACTGTCTGGTTTATTTTTTGTAGATAGCTAGGGGTAAGGTACTATTGGAACACTAACTTTATGTGGGCTTCCACATGGTAATAGCATGATGTCAAGCCTTTTAGAGTGTTGATTGGACCCATTGTGTGTTTGTCGGAATGTAAACACCTTCCTTCTTCCACTGTTTTGTATATACAAAAAGTATACAAGTTGATCCAGCACGTAGAAATGTATCACACCTAGGACTAAAAGGTAACATCTTACCAGGCCTTAGAATGACCAGACTTGACATACCAGAGAATAGTCAGAATACTT